AGATCCGGCTGGGATGCCTCTCGTTTCTACCATGCTTCCCCGGCGCCAGTACGCCCCCGACAACGCATGCATCCCTGGCCGTCAGCAGACCCGGCAATATAACATTGCGGACGTGGATCCGTGGGTGATTGAGTGGATCAACACTTTGACGATCATGACGATGACTTTGGAAGGGTTGTCTCGTGCACTGCCATTTCGCCCGGAGTGGAACTTCCCCAGTCATCTTCCTAGATCCGCCGTTTCCAGGACAGGTCAGTACTTCAGTCACTTGATCACTGGTCAAAATGTCCACGATCTCATGGCAGCTCTTCCTGGAACGTTCTTACGGGCACTAACATCCCCGAGCCCATGTCGTTCGAGATCACCGTCAATGGTCGCTTGGGGTTCCTGATCGAGAGTTATTCGGCTGTGGAATTCCAAGATCTGATTGCTTATTGGGAGTCCACGCATCGTTTCCCAGTTCCATCATCCTTGATCGGTAGCAATCCGTACCTGACCACTTTCGTCGTGGAGCGGAAGAACCGTCGGTCTCATGCGGGCGCCCGGTGGAAACAGATCTTGACCCTCTTCTTGATCGCGATGCGGGAGGGCTGGTGCGATCTGGATTTGCTGTTGGATCCATACTTCCTCCACTTCCACAAGCGCACGGACGAGGTGGCTTGGTATCCCGGGATCGAGGCTCGCAGTGCCATATCGAGACTCGCAGTGCCAATATTGCAGATCCGCAGCTGCATCGTCGTGAGCCCGCTGACCTGATCGAGGCTCTCGCCGAGTGCGACGCCGCAGACCCTTGGAGTACTCACTACCGACTCCACCATGCGGGCTATACCGCTCGTCGGATTACACGTCTCGCTGGCAAATTTTTCAACATGGCGGCCCTGAACCCCAACGCGCCGCCCCTTGCTCCTCAGCCATGATCCTGATACCTCTCCTGACATTCTCTTCGGATCACTTACGTTAAGCATAATGCATGTCATTTCCTTCCCGATCTGAGTTCGCCTATATCTCCATGTATGTCATTTGCCCTTTGATCCATAATTACCCAAATAATACCATTCCAAATCCACAATCGAAATTCAATCCTGCTCGCTCCATGTCCATTTCAGAATCCTTCTCGCTCCACTTCGATCCCCTGTTAACATATCATCATACAAAATCACATAACCTCTGTCCTCCGATCTGCAACCTCCTTGCAGATCCATTCACTTTCAGCCACACTAATGACCAAACTCACCAGTGTGGATTCCCAGCTCACGGCTCCTCGTGAGACTGCATCACACCGAAACGGTTGTGATTAGCGCGATCTCGCAAGAACTCATACAGAAGAGCACCGCAGTTCAGATCTGCCTCGTCTATCCAGGTCAGATCTTCATATCCACGCCAATGTACCAGGAATTCTCGGTAGATCCGGCCATATCTCGTCCTCTTGCCAGTTCTCATATCCGAAATTCGCCCCACTTCATATTCATCTGGATCCCGCTCTTGGATCCAGCTATCTTCAGGTAGGAGAGCTTCATCGAAGTCCACCCGATCTCCTTCTCATCCGTTCAGCCGGGTTACTGGTCGATCTGGGAATACTTTGACCAGTTTGATCTTCGATACATGCACCACCGGGAAAATGCTGTATGTGGATCCTGCTATCTCCAACCTCACAGCGTACCCTCCGATCTTTTCGGCAACGCGGAATGGGTCATGCCATAAGTGTGCTAGCTTTTTGCATAACCTTCACGCACTCGATCTAAATACAGCCAGACCCTTGATCCAGGTTCTACAGGATGCGGTCGTGCTAGGTCGTTATGCATATCAGCCCGATCCGCGATCGCTTCTCGTAGAGGTTGGTTCACCTGTTCTCTGGCCTGCTAATAATACATCTGCATCCGATATCGCCATCTTCTAGGGTCTCGATCGTGCCTTCGAGTGCTCCCCACCAGGATCACAGCGTCCAGGGTAGATCTAGGATCCCAGCCATGTATCATATAGAAAGGTGTTTCGCCCCGGATCCGATCCCTTGCGGTATTGATCGCGAAGGTGACTCGTTCTGCGTACTCATCCCAATCTCGTTGGTCCAGAACTTCCACATACATTTTGAGAGCCCTGGTAGTTGTCTGGACCATACGTTTCGCAGATCCGTTGGCTTGGGGTCTATATGCCATAGTGGCCCGTTGACGTTGTCCCAGGATCCTGTTGAACGACTTAAAGAAATCAGACATAAAAGCTGGCTCCCGATCGTGTCGGATCACCTCGCTCGCACCAAATCGACGAAAGACACATTCTTCATAGGTCTCGGCAATTGTTTGAGCGGATCTGGAGGCACTAGCCTTGGCGATCACATATCCCGAGAATAGATCCACAAAGATCAGCAATTCGGTATTGCCGTTGAAGGATCTAGGCAGCCAGGGTATATGATCCATGGCGATGATCTGAAATGGGTACGTTTCCTGAAGGTTACCAGGCGACTCGCCCTGGATCCGAGGTTTTCCCTTGCCTGTCTCACAGTCAATGCATTCTCCCACATATCGTTGTACACTCTTATACAAACCCCTCCAGTGGAATTGATCACGGATCCGGTCATAGGTGCGGCCAACCCCTTGGTGACCGCCCTGTAGACTGGTATGGTAATGGTGCAGAATATCTTGTTGAAGCGTCTCAGGTATGACTAGTCGCATCAACTTGTCTCGATCTGCAGCTGCTTCCTTAGTAGTCGGGCAGTAGAAGAGCAGATCCGACTGATCCACTTCATAATTCATGGCAATAGATCCAAACATCTTAGCATCCTCTTGTGTCAGATCCCGGATCTCCCCAACCAAATACTTCGTCAAGCCTAGGATCCACGACTCTTCATCCTGTGCTTGCCGGACCCGTTCGATCCTCAGCTCTGATCAGATCCCACACGTACCACCGATCTAGCCTGAGATCGGGTCGTCACCGCTGATACCCGTACGATTTCTTCTTCGACTTTCACTATCAGGATCTCGTCCAACCTATTTAATGTTATGAGATCTTGGATCTCTGCGTCAGACTCTACCTCGACTCCGCAATCCTGTGTCCCGCATTGCCGCTGTAGAGCAACACTTGCTAGGCTGTCAGCACTCCCATTCCAGTCCCGTTTAACGTGCAACAGTTCATGATCTGGCCATGTACGTAATCGATCCAAGGCTCGCTGACGTAACAGTGTCAGACCTGGTGCTTGACAGTCGATCTCTCTGTCGGATCACCAGGTTAGCGTCTCCGCAGATCACCAGACGTCGCGGATCCAGATCTTCCAACAGATCCAAACATAGTAACAACCCATTGTATTCTGTCTCATTCACCGTCAAGCGTTCGGCGTACCCTGATCTAGCTTTCACAACCCTCCATTCGGGTAGCCTCCACAGGATCGCGCTGTATGCGCCTCCACCCCGGGCTGATCCATCGAAGCTGAACACATATAGCTCCTCATCTCGTCCGATAGTGGGGATCGGACCTTGGATCGTACGTCTTAGCTCCTTTTTGGGCGCGATTGAGATCAACACCTTATCCACTTCTGATCTAGGAGTGATACTGGCTGTCAATGCTCCCAAGATCTCGTCCTCTCCTTTGACACACTTGTTGATCTCAAGTATCCAAGGCGGCAGCAGAGCTGTCCATTGTCCTAAACGTCCTTGTAAGGCCGTTTATCTGAAGAGCCACGCCAATGTTGAATGGCGGGTTAACACACGGATCGGACGTTCGACCAACGTATTGTAATTGAGATCTAGGATCCTCAGAAGGGCTAGTACCTCCTTCTCCGCGATGCCGTAATTGAGTTCGTTCAGCTTCAGAGTACGGCTGGCAAAAGTCACAGGATAGTAGATCTGGTCGTATTCCTGCATCAACGCTCCCGAGATGGTCCAATCACTAGCGTACACCACCACCGTGGCCTCTCCGCTGGATCACAATGTCGTAAGATTGGAGTGGTAGCGATCCTGGCCTTGAGCACGTTGAAGGACCGATGAGCGTGGATCCAACGTGGATCTACCTCCGTGGGATCAGGCGCCTCCAGATCCAGGGTCCTTCGGTGGTCGACCTCTCGATCTTCCTGTGATCTTGGATCCACGTCTTCTGCTTCCAGTATTTGTTGGATCCGCCCTTGAGTGGTCTCTTTCGCCATCGCAGCAAAGTCGATTTCTCGCAATTCGTACAGAACCGACGTGTAGATCGTGTAGTCTTCGATAAATCGGCTATAGTAGTTCAGACTGCCCAGAAATGATTGCATAGCTCTGAGTGATCCTGGGAAGGCTAGATCAGTTAATGCAGACAGATCTTTTGGATTCGCCTCCAGCCCATTGTGCGAGACTTTATGTCCAAGGTATTCCACCTTGGGCATCTCCCAGAAGCGTTTAACCACGCTGATCGACAGGTTCCATTTGTCACACGCTTCGAGCAACCCCTCCACTCGGTAACATAGTTGATCCCAACTATTAGCGGGGATCAGGATGTCATCGATATATGATCTGCGACCGAGCACCGAAGCTCGGTCGCAGATCATATATAGCTTGCCTGGATCCACCGGCCCTCCGTTCTCAAATACATCCGTAGTACTTCCGTGATCTTCGGACTTCGAGATCCGAGTGAACCCATACAACGCATTATCGATCATACGTTGATAGATCTGGGGCGCATTCTTCAGGCCAAAAGGCATTCGGTTCCACTCAAATAGTCCAAAAGGAGTGATAATAGCCGAGATCAAGCGAGCACGATCTGTCCTTTTCACTACCCAAAATCCGCTTGCCATATCCAAAGAACAGTACCAAAGTGTCGACTCCAGATCTTCGAGTAGATCGTTGATCAAGGGCATTGGGTGTACCATCAGTTGTGTCAGGCTATTAACCAACCGGTAATCGATACATAGCCTGATGTCCACCCCATTCTTCTTAATGATCACCACGATGGGGGAAGCCCATGGTGATCTGGAATAGTTGATCATCTTGGCGGACAATAGAGCCTTGATCAGATCTGCTAGCTTCACCCTGAACTGGATCCACAACTTACGGCACTTAAGGGCGATGGACCTCGCTCCCCCGACATCAATATCGCACACCACACCTCTAGCTGCCGGCGGAAGGGCATTTCCTTTCCCGATCAAGAGGTGTCGGAACTTCCACATCTTTTGGCGGAGTCGCTCGACTTCCTCTGGAGTTTGATTGTCCCATCCGCATAGTTGAATGTCTTCGATCTTCACATCTTCCGTCGCCAAAGGTACTTCGGGCAATACCGCCATCTGACCATCGACATCTTCGGCATATAGATCGCTTCCTTCATGGTAATACACGCATTCATCGTAATCTTGATCTGAGTCCCAGGTAAGATCCAGATCCGATGTGTCTGGTTGATCTCCCACAACAGGTGGTGGATCCATGTCCGTTTTCTGTAAACAGACGTGGTGCAGTTGTCGTTCAATAGATCGCCAGTCACCTGTCCTGTCCCAGGCTGTACACTCATCATTGATGGCAGATCCACCCCACCGCGTTCCGACGGCTGTGTTCCTTGATCTTGCGCCATCGGATGTAGTTGATCTAGGCTGACGTCCTTAATTTCACCTCGGCTATCTTCTTCTCGCAGTCCTTCCATGTCCGTGGTTTTCTCCACCAGTGGATCCTTCGCCCATATATCCAGTATCACTTGATCGCGATCTTCTAGCGCCTCCTTGACCGTTGCGGCATGCGATATAGAGTCTTCGTCTACGATAGACGATAGATCCGACTCTTCGCTCACGACAGGCGCTAGATCCAACGGTCGCATCTCCGACGGCGACCTGTCCGACGGCGACTTGTCCGGCGGCGACTTGTCGGAGGGTGGGCAGTCAGGAATATCTTGATGCTGACTCGCCTCGACTTTCTGGCGCTTGATCAACGTTGTCTTCGGTCTTTGGAGTATTGTGCGCGGGGTTTCATACTCGGGCCGCTCCACTGCTGGCGTCGACGGGTTCCTGACCTTCCCTTTCCTCGGATTGGATGTCCGTCGTAGCTTCCAGCGCCTGATTCTGCCACTCCATGTAACGTCGAGAGCCGACCGATATAAAACCCGGTATTCGCGGCACCTGATCCCCAGCCAGCCAGATTCCGATCCGTAGGTCTTGATGCAGGATCAACACCTCTTCCCCAATGTT